GTACCTCTGGACTGTCCAGGAGGTCGTCCTCACAGAATGGGGCGGCAGGCAGACCTTGGGGTGCATCTGCTTCTAGTATCGCCTGTGGCTATGGGGGAATGGCCTCTGGCTTTGGAGTTGGCTGTGGGGTGCTCATTTCTGCGGCATCCATGTTTGGCTCCAGTTCTGGCTTTAGCGGTGGCTCTGCAGGCTTCTTACCAGGGCTTGCCACTGCTTATGGTGGACCTCTGGGAGGTTGCTTGGGAGGGCTGGGGATGGGAATCGGGAGAAGCTCTGGTGGTGGGTCTCTGTGTATCCTCTCTGACAATGACGGAGGGCTTCTTTCCGGTTCTGAAAAAGAAACAATGCAAAATCTGAACGATAGACTAGCTTCCTACCTGGGCAAGGTTCGCGCTCTAGAGGAGGCCAATGCGGAACTGGAAAGCAAAATTCGAGAGTGGTATGAAACACGAAGGACTGGAGGCTCTGGGCCCCAGAGTGATTACAGCAAATATTACCCCCTGATTGAAGACTTAAAGAACAAGGTAAGGGGAAGGGCTTTAGAAACCTTTTCAAAAAAGAATTACAATATTTTATAATAACTTTATAATAACATAAGATATTATTTTATAATAATAATAATCTCTTAACTCAGATCCTATTTTAACTAGATTGTACTTGGAGAAGTTTCTCCTCTCAGGAAATGCAGCTCTGTTAATCATAAAATGGCTGTACTTCCTCAGTCTTCCTAAAAGAAATGTACATTTCTTAACTTGTAGACATTATTTTATCAAGACACTTGCTTTTAAAGTGAAGCTGTATTGAACCCTTTCAGGAATTTTGTTCTTTGTTTGTTTGTTTATTGTGGTGCTGGGGAGCAAACACGGGGCTTCGGGCACGTGACCAAGTTTTCTCTCATCAAGCTATATCCACAGCCTTTGCCTTAGGAAAACGGAACTGAGGACTTTATACTGAGAGCGGCAACTGAAGCCCAGAAAGTCAAATGCCATCTGTTCTCTTCTAGATGTGGATTCTAGTTCGGGATGTTTAGATTTCTATGATTGAGTTGCAGGGAGTGCCTGCAGAGGTAGAAAGCAAGAGAGGAGCCGTGGTGCTTAAAGGGGATGTGATAAGAAAGTAGAAGGGGATGCTGGCCTGAAAAACTTTAAACAAGGATGAGGTGGAGATGGAGGGAAAGGCAGGGGTGGGGAGGGAAGAGCAATCAAAAGTAAAGATTATGAAAAGCCATCTAGAAGCTTAAAGCTTGAAAAGCTGATTTCAAAATAAAGAGTTTGAACGGAGGGAGAAAAGTCTTTAGCGTCGCCATTTATTCTTACATCCAAAACGACATTTGGAAACTACCGGTACTTTAGGGCTCCATTTTCATGTGTCTCCTGTTACTCTTCCAGATCATTTCTGCCAGCGTTGGGAATGCCCAGGTCCTCTTGCAGATTGACAATGCAAGGCTGGCTGCCGAGGACTTCAGGATGAAGTGAGTCTGTTACACCCATGCTAGGCAACTCATCCTTCCTCCCATTCCCCACTTCCTGCCTCCAGTGGCGGCAGAGGAGTTAGCTCGAGTCCACACGCTCCTCACCTCCAGGGCTCTCTCAAATCCACACGACCCTTTAAGAAGCACTGAAAGTCCAACAGTTCACTTTATATAGCTTTAAAGTATAAGTAGCTCCCGCCTGGAGCTATGAACCATCTCTTTGTAATGACTCATAATTCAGCACAATAATTGCACCTATGTTTAAGCCTGAATTTTCAATGTATCAAAATGAATTAATAATATTTTTTGCCAAGGGGTTAAACGAAGCGATTGTTTCCCTGATGACACATAAAACGGAAAGCTTAACCGTGCATTTTTTTTTATGTCCCAACTCCTTTCCCATGCCTCGCCCTCCTACACAGAGGGAAAACAACCTAATTTCCTTTCTGTATTACAAAATGTCCCCCACAGGGAGTTGTAATGACCATAGTCTTGAACTTGTAGAAGCCCGACAAAAGCTACTAACGAAGCATCAAGATTTAAAGCCACTCACAAAGAAGAAGAAAAAGAGTAACTATTAGTTTATCACCAGCTAGTTTGGGGATATTGTTAGAAAGTCAAACTACAGGGAGACTTCTCCCTGGGGTGCAAGAGTCACTGTTGGGGAATGTTAGTGCCTGGTTAGTCTTCGTTTTTCTTCTCTTTTCCAGATGAGCAGTAAGAAATCATACGCACATGAAGAAGAAAGGTCACTAAATCAAAAATTGCATCATATGCTCTTAATGCACTATTTTTCCTCCCTTTTTTTAGGGTCTCATGCATCTCAGGCTGGTCTATAATTCACAATGTAGCTAGAAATGACTTTGAACTCATGCCCCTTCTGCCTCCACTTCCCAAGTCCTGAGACTTCAGATATGTTCCCCTGTGTCTGGCTCTCCGTGCACAGATCCATACGTCAATAGCCCTGAAGATGTCCAGGGCCCGTGACAATGCTGTGTGTTCATGCTGACTACCTAAACTGTTGGCACTTGGTTTTCAGGTATGAGAATGAGCTGGCCCTGCGCCAGACCGTGGAGGCTGACATCAACGGGCTGCGCAGGGTGCTGGATGAGTTAACCCTGGCCAGAGCTGACCTGGAGGCACAGACAGAGAACCTGACTGAGGAGCTGGCCTACATGAAGAAGAACCATGAGGAGGTCAGAAATAGCCTTTTTTTCCCCTCCCAGACCCAAACATTACAATTTTGAATTAACAAAGCTAGAGAATACATTACCTCTGTGTTAAAATGACTATTAGTTTTGGTGTTCTTGTATGTGCACCCCCTAGCCTTCACCCACCCCTCCCTCCTCCCCCCCTTCCTCCCTCCCTCTCTCTCTCTTTCTTGTGTGTGTGTGTTACAGTATTGTTTGTTAAGGTTTACTAGATTAGAGTATTAGACTCAGGATGGCAAAGAGTATTCTGATTCTATTGCTTCCATTAAGTAATGGCAGGAATTTTAAACGGAGTATTTTTTAAAAACTAAAACAAAAGTCTGCAGATAATATGTAGGCCACATATGCTAGAGAAATGTAACCAGAATGACATCATATGGAACTCTGATGTGCACATCCAAGGCTGGGGCATGGAGAGGAGGAAGGGTTGCTGACAGTGGGCTTCTAAGGAAGTTCCTGCTGGATTCTCCATGACTGTGAAACAGTGTACGAACCAGGGTACCACTTGCAGCCCTAGCTTTGCAGCAGTTGCTGGAGCAACCTGCACACCAGGTCCCTTTCTTTTCCTTAATTATAGGAAGTGGGTGTTCAAGAAGCAGAGCCAACAACCACGGGCACAGAACGTGGAGCCCTTGGTCATTCAAGAAACCTGTGAAAATATCATGGTTTCTGTTCGTTTCTCTTAATCAGAATAAAAATAGGTTTTCAAGTTAAAAACGTACTGGTGTCTTGCATTAATATTTTGCTTTTATACCAACTCGGTCAAAAATGAAGTTTTATTATCATGGAAGAAGAGACCCCGTAAAGCAAAAGTACATAGGGACCCCACTAGTCACGTGAACTTCCACATCCTTCTCTCTCCTTGCTGTCCCTAGGAACTCCAGAGTTTCCAGGCAGGTGGTCCAGGTGAGGTCAGTGTAGAAATGGATGCTGCACCTGGGATAGACCTCACCAAGGTCCTCAATGAAATGAGGACCCAGTATGAAACCATGGCCGACCAAAATCGGAAAGACGCAGAGGCCTGGTTCCTTGAAAAGGTAACACCAAGACAGAGATTTGGTGCGTTCCCAGAAAGCCCGTTAAGCCAGCGCAGAGCTCACCCATCTACCCGCTTGGCTGTTGCAGAGCGGAGAGCTCAGGAAAGAGATCAGCAGCAACACGGAGCAGCTTCAGTCCAGCAAGAGCGAGATCACCGACCTGAGGCGCATGGTGCAGAACCTGGAGATTGAACTTCAATCCCAGCTCGCCATGGTAGGACAACACGCAGGGGGCGAGAGGGCCGCAATCTTGAACTTCCACAGAAATTGTTGCACCCACCATATGTGGGACCGTGGGCTGTCGTCTTGTCTTCAGACCCTCACACTGCTCTGTGTCTCTCCCATTTGCAGAAGAAGTCCCTTGAAAACTCACTGGCTGAAACCGAGGGCGGTTACTGCTGCCAGCTGTCTCAGGTGCAGCAGCTGATAGGCAACCTGGAGGAGCAACTCCAACAGTTGCGGGCGGATGCAGAGCGCCAGAACGCCGACCACCAGCGGCTGCTGGGCGTCAAGGCCCGCCTGGAGATGGAGATTGAGACCTACCGCCGGCTCCTGGATGGGGAGGCGCAAGGGTGAGCAGACAGATAGTGAGGTTGGAAATATCACAGGGACTGATAGGCAGTAGACTCTGGCCGCAGCGCAGATTGCTTTTTTTTTTTTTTTTTTTTTTTTTTTTTCTGCAATGGAAAAGAGGTCTGTAGTAGATTAAACAAGGAACAGTTCTTGCCAGTAAGCCTAGCACATGGAAGGCTGAGGCAGCAGAAGCCTGGACTACATCTATCTAGTAAGACCGTCTCCGGGAAGCAGAGGTGGGCTTGGTGAGTAGCTCAGAGGGTAAAGAGTTTGCAAACGTGAAGAACTGAGGCCAGAACCCCCAAACCCACGTATGTCTCGAATTTCATCTCTCCTACTAATTTCATCCCTCCTACTGAAGACGGAAGGTGGAGACAGGAATATCCCCAGAAGTTTATGGCCCAGTGTGTCTCAAACAAGGTTTAATCCAGGACCAACCTGGGGTGTAGCTGACATCCATGTGTGAAGTGGCAAACACACCCTTACACCTACACACATGAACGTGCATGCACATAGATACACACAACACACACACCATACACACACATAAAGATTATTTTTAAAGAGGAGGAAGAAAGGATAAAACACCAAATCTAGGAAACACATACCTAGAGTTTATTAAATACTACACAAAATTATCTAGTCATTTATTACTCAAAACTAATTAATAAAATGCTGCAGTGGACAAAGACTATTGTAAATGATCACTTACATGTCCTAGAAGATCCATCTGATGGCCTGATGCTAGGGACGGCACATCAATAGTATCCATCTGGACCACCTCCATCCCACGGTAGCAAGTCTGTCAGAAACAATAGCAGCTCAATATGGAGGGGAAATACTACTCCAAATTGTAAATCAAGAAAGCTAATTTCTGAGACCACACTGCCTCCCTTCAGAGCCCACTCACTGTAGGGGGTTTAGAAACCAATGTGTGTTGGCCCAATAGTTACCCTGGTGGTGCATCATTCAGCCAAGAAACTTGTAATAGCATCTCTATTTTCTGCATAGTGGCATAGACATCCTTAATGTTTAAACTCCAACAGCAGATTCTCCTTACCCAGCAATCTCATGAGCACCACCTTTGTTTTCTTTACAGCGACGGTTTTGAGGAGAGTTCGTCCCTTGCTGTCTCCAAACCTCAGAGTCAGGCACCATCAGTAGACTCCTCAAAAGGTACAGAGACAAGAATCATTCAAAACAAGTCAGAATCTTACTCGTTAAGGACTGAACTGTGACATCTCACTAAGGGTTGAGCAGAATTAACTTCTGATGTAGTTGTGTTCTGAGCAGGGGACACATCAGAGTCTTTCCTGAAGCGAAGTGAGCAGTGGGTAACTTATTAAACCTCTCAGCAGGCTAAGTCAGGGGAATCCACTCCAGGGAGGTGCGGTGGGCACCACACACACTTCAGAAATGCTTTGAAATGCTCCAGGCCTGGTGGTGCTTGCCTGCCATTCCAGCTCTTAGAAGACTGAAAGAAAGAGGACAGTGAGCTCCAGGCCAGCTCGAGCTACTTAGCAATACCCTGAGCTGAAAGAAAAAGAAAGGAATAGGGAAACAGAGAGATGGAGGGAGATATTGGGTGTCTTGATTTGTGCACAAGACAGCATCGAATGAATGAGTTTCCACTGAATAAAACTCATTGGGTTTGGAATGAAAGTCACTCCCAAAAGTCTAAGTTTGAAGAAAAGCTTAGGTTGAACAAGAATAAACTTTGGGTTGATAATTGGTTCGCAATAATCATTACCCCCTTTTTCTGTGTTTCACCTTTAGACCCAAATAAAACTCGGAAAATCAAGACAGTTGTGCAGGAGATAGTGAATGGCGAAGTGGTCTCATCCCAAGTTCAGGAACTTGAAGAAGCAATATAAGACCTCACGCCGGCTCCTTAGGAATGCAGAGTTTACAGCTAGAAGTTCTTGCTTCCATATGCTACATCTGTTTTGACCGATTTCCCCTTCTTTGGATTCTCTGTTCAGGTTGGGTCTTGTTAGCATGTTTGAACACAAGTCCCCGTGGCTGTGTTGATCTTTATTGTTCATTCACCTTACACCTTTACCTTTACACCTTCCTGGGCTCCTTCAGGAGTCTTTCCAGTAGGTTCTGTTTTCTGGTCCCCGGGACCATTTGTTTCATCCAAGAGCTTTGATGGAATAGCATTGTTTTAACAGAGCTGACTTTGATTAAAGATTAATGGCCATAAAATGAAGTGTGTGCTTCCTTGATTGCAACAGTAGTGTTGAGGGCATAGGCACACGCTTCTACGATATTGATAATAAAGTACATAAGCACTCAGACCAAAAAATAATGAGGTTGGAGATTAAGATTATTTTAAGGGGCTGTCCTCTGTGCCAGCCCACTGAGGTTGCTGGAATTTTATAATTTCCACTGTAGGAGAGGACAGTTGTTCGATTCGTTTTCTAGGGTCTTAATTCATACAGGCAATGAGTCCCTACACACTTAATTCCACCCTTAGTGAGTCCCTGTAGAATGGAAGATAGGAGAGTCAAGGGTAAACTTGGTCCTTGTCCGAGGGCAGAGGTAGACATCTACCAGGCTTGGTGACACCTTGACAAAGGGCTCACAGAAGTCCCAAGGATGCATGGGAGAAGTTCAAGTTATTTCGGGGCAGCTAAATGTTTCATTCAGAAGCCAACCAGGTGGTGGAGGGAGAAAAGAACAGAGTGTACACCTGTAACAAGATCCAAGGGTGGAGACCTCCCTTGCTTGGTTCTCCTTTCTCCTGTCTGGGAGTGGCAAGGCCTAGGGTGGGGCTTTTTATGAGAGAGAGTCTGAGCCAAAGCCAATGACAGAAGTCAGGTTCTGGGTTGAGATAGAAGGTAACCAAAGTCTAAACCAGAGAAGATGGTGGTTTGACCTAGGTTGTCAAATCCAAAAGTCCTGAACGAAAACAAGGGTGGGATTCAGTGAGGAAGACCCAGGACTCCAAAGTCAGAATGGGTTCCAATCCTAGTTCTGTTACGTAATCTTGAGCAGCTCCTCTCTGCGTGCCTCTGTCTCCACACGTGTGCCCATGACCTTGCAGGTGCACGCATCCTCGGCCATGGATGTGCAGGCCAGAGCAGAACATTGGGCTCCTTCCTCTGTCGCTCTTCCTCTTGAGACAGGCCCTCTCATGGAGCTAGGTGGGCTGGCCAGGGAGTTCTCTTGCTCACAGCGCTGGGATTACATGTTGTCTGGCCTGCTTCTCATGTGTGTGCTGGGGATTCTAACTCAGCTCTTCATGCTTGCAGAGCAAAGCTCTTTTTACCCCTTGTACCATCTCCCCAGGGCAGTACAATAAACCAACAGGAACCTAGAGAGTGTTGGCGCTAGACAGCGCCCACTTGAGGCAGAGGAGGGGATAGCATGGTTTCTTTGTTGCAATGCTCAGCATCTCAGGATGGATCTACTACTGAGCTGTGCGCCCAGGCTCAAAGTGCTCAGTGTGTGTGTCCCTTTATTGTCCACTCTCTGGAAGCAAAATGGGATAGAGAAACCCGGAGGAAGATGAGTAAGGAATAACGAAGTGGGTAGAGGAGAGAGGAAGCCTGGAAGACTTCTACAGCTGAGAAAAAACCTCGGAGGGTTACCCCATTTTTTGGCTGGTTGGCTTCAGCGTTCAGTTTCCTGAAGTCATCTTCCTCTTAATGTTCAAGTGGCTTCGGATCCCCTGTTCAATCTCCTCTAGCGTGCACTCATCTCTCTGTGTTTAGTATTCGCTCCCAGCACCTGTCATAGATGATCCTGACCTTTCAGACCCAAAGAGAGGTCCTAGGTCTACTCCTGAGCAAGATCCTCAGCCCCCATCTGACTAAACCAGAGATAATAGACTTGAGGGATCTCAAAGGGGTATGATCAATGCAAACCTAATGGTCATTCCTGAGATAGCTTGGTTTCTCAGCCTTCCTTCCCTTTGGAAATGCCCCCCAGCCCTGCAATGTGACTCAGAGACACCACTCCCTCTGGAAGCTTCCTCATAGGGCTTTTCTCTATGAACCTTGGGCTCCATCCTCCCATCTTCCCTCTACACCCACTCCCTGGTTAACCTCATCTAGCCCTGTGTTTTCATCTGTTGTCTATACTTCCGTTACTTCTTGGGGTGGCCTCCATCATGACCTTAGGTAGCCTCACCTCCTGACACACATGTGGAAGGAAGTGACAGAGGAGGACCTCCAAGGACAACCCCAGCCCCTAATATCACTCAACAGAATCCTAACTCTTCCCAACATTGAACTTAACTCTAACCCTAACCTAAATAGTACAAAGCAGAAGGAGGGAGGTGGCGGTAGGCGGCAGCCATGGAAGTGAATGTGATCAATGTATATAATATATAGGGATCAAAATGCTGTTTGCTGTGCTTTGGTCTCAGGGAATGTCAGACACCTACAAGGTTATACTACAAGGGAGGGCAGTTGTCTAAAAATGGCCATTTCACACATTCTCCCACTAAGGCTCCCATGGCTGGGATTTCATGGAAGGGCAGCAGGTTCCAAATCTCACTCTTTTTATCACGCTATCTCTGGGATATTCTTCAGTCTCTACCTGGTGTAGGAAGTCTGAAATTCGCATCCTCACTGGCAAGAGAGGCAACTAACACAGCACGCAGCCTAGCCCCCTTGGACGGCTGTGACGACATGCTTTAGACCACAGGAAGGGAGCATAAATAACAGAAGCTGCTTTCTCTCGGTTCAACAGGCTGACTGGGTGTCTGCTCAGGGCCCACTGCCTGGGCACGCGGTAGAGAATGGAAGCCACTCCCTGGGACCTCTGTTCCATAAGCCACTGGTCCCATCTGCGAGGGCTCTGCCATTAGACCCTCCCAAATGTCCCACTTTGTGATGCCACCACACTAGTGACTAGATTTTAATACACATATTTGGGGAGAATACAAACTTTTGGGCCACAACAATGACCTCACGAGAGTCCAGCTTCTACCACCAGACCACGGTCCCTGATTCAGTGCAGCTGTGAAAGGCCTGGACTCTGCAAGACACAAGTTGTGAAAATGTCCTTAGGGGAAATAAGTCACTGGGGGGGGGGGAAGCTAAGAGATCAAACAGCAAACGCCAAGCATCTTGTTTAAAATTACATTAAGCTCTAAAATTTTGCAAATTTAAATTCTTGTTTATATATGCGATTGCTGTTTTGTCTAAGCTAAGGAAGGGCCTGGAAGATGCAATGTATACTGATTTATTACAGCAATCTCTCAGGACTAGCAAGGGCCTTCACAAGTATGCGCTATTATTCCTTCTGTGTATGCCTTAAAAGCTTAGCAAGCAAGTGTATTGCTCTAATAATCAAGGACAAAATAGATTTTAGTCAACCAAACAAATGTGGTTGAGGAAAGGTTAACAGAAGGGAAACCACCCAAACAAACTGCCGCGCACCGCGGCCCCGATCTGCGCTCTATGCACTAGACCCCAGTTCGCGAGCTTCGGGCAAGGGGCTGGAGGTTGAGAACACAGACGCAGAGAGAGACCGACACGCAGACCTTTTAACACTGATACCAAAGCCCTTCTTTAATAGCACCATGTAGGCTTAAATACACTGCAGTCAATGGCCAACAGGTGAAAATCCCATCCTCTGATCCTCTAAGCTAGGCACAGCTTCTAGTAACTTTAATTAGAAGGTTCTAGGAGGGAAGAGCAGCTGAAGGCCAGGACTCTTTAATCCCAACACAAACCCTTAGGACGCAAAGCAAGATTCCTTTCAGCGTGTGTAGAGCGCCACCTGCTGGACCCTCAGAAAAGGACCTTGAAAAAACTACCTCCTTTGTTCAAATCATTTGAGATAAGAATATCAGATTTATTAGAAAAGAAGGAAGGCAAGAAGAGGAACAAGAGGTGGAGGAGGAAGAAGATAATATTTCTTTTCACTATCAACTTAGTAGGTAATATTTCTTTTCACTATCAACTTAGTAAGATAAGACTGTCTTATTTAACTAGTAATCACTCCCCCACAGGTCTCCTAGACCACTTAGGGAAAATAAAGTTAGTAATCAATGTTCAGAATACCAGGCAGGCAATCAGATCACCTTGAGCTCTTCAAAATGTACTCAAATATCGAATAAAATAAAAATGTATTCATACAGCTGAGTGAATGATCTTCTGTAGGGTAAATGTTTCTTAAATGTTAGACATAAATATACGTTTAAATGTTATAGAGATTAATATCATGGGCTGGAGAGATGGCTCAATCAGTAAAGCATTTGCCACATAAGCATGAGGGCCTGAGTCTGACTCCCAGAATCTCAGAGGCTGAAACATGTAGATCTTTGGGGCTCACTGGTCAGCCAGCCCTAAATTAATGGTGAGCCTCAGCCGAAAGAGAGACCCTGACTCAGGAAGCAAGGGGGACAGAGAGCCTGAGGAACTGCATCTAATGCTGACCCTTGACCTCTACAGGCTCATACATCTGTACAACATATGTGTGCACACACCTTAGAGAGAGAGAGAGAGAGAGAGAGAGAGAGAGAGAGAGAGAGAGAGAGAGAGATTAGTATCATAAACTCAAAATCAAACTAAAAAGCCAGCTGTTTGTATCTTTTATCACTGCAGCTGGTTCCAAAGGCTGTAGCTGCACCATTTAGCAACATATCAAGAAAAGGTCATTAAGATCAGAATTCATGGTCCTATCCCTAATCACCTGATAAAGTCCACACACTAGAACACAGCCCGTCAATTTATGAAGCACAGAAATGCCGATACAGAAACCCCATGGAAAGCGGGGACGTGGGCCATGCAACCAGAGTCCCAGCTACGCAGAAAGCTGAGACAGGAGGATCATTCCAGTCCAGGAGTTTGAGGTCAGTCTAGTGGCTAAGCTAAAGAAGCCAGGCACAAGAGAATACATCTCTGTGATCCCATTTATGTAAAACTTTAAGGCAAACAAGCCTCCTCTTCAGTGACAGCTGGTCAGTGGCCCCCTGGCATAGAAGGTGAGGGAGAATAAATGAACTGGCCTTCTGGGGAACTGAAGGACCTGCTGACTGTGGGGATGGTGACACAGGTGTAGCTAATCCTCAGGGCTCTTCAAGCTGTGAGCTTTGAGTAGGTCCATTGCTTTGTATGTAGATCACCGCAAAGACGATCTTAAATGATAGCATCATCGGGATGGGGTTGCTTTGCCTCTACGATGATGCTGCAGTGGAATCATGGGGCCATGTGGGATCAGCAGGGGGATGTCTGAATGAGTCGGTGCCTGCTCTGAGCACTGACTGTTAAATTGCCAGGGATGTGGAACATTACGGCAAAAGCCCAGGCTTCCTCATGCACATCCTCAGAGAGCTCTCGGGCACCTGCTCCCCACTGTGCACAGTGGGTCAGGGCAGAGTCAAAGGCTGGTGGTCCAGATGGGCTCCAGCTCTCTTGTTTGCTAGTAGTTTTATTTACCACTCTCATCTGTAAACTCATGGTAAATCAGTGCCTACCAAGCTGGGCGTGTCACACAGTGGGAGAATTCTTGCATAGGCTTCTTAGGTCCTGGGTTCAATCCCCACTCCCACGGGAAAAAAAATGAAGTGCCTACCTCACACAATTATAAGAATTGAAGAAGTTAACTCACTCACGGCACTAACTCAACGTCCGTCATCATCAGTTAGAAAATTAAACACAAAGTCACTCTGCGACTCAAAACATCGGCTAATTTGCATATGGTCCCCTTGACCCCTATTCTTTTCCAGCCCTTCATAGGCACTGCTAGATGATTTGGAAGACGGGAAAGAAACGCGCAAGCGTTCATCTGAAATAGTTCTCACCTGATACACAGGCAGGGGGTCAACCCTACCCTCCTCCCTGGATGGCAGGTGACCTTCAGCGTCAGAGAAGCCAATTCCCTGCAAGAGTTTCGTGAGTGGCAAACCCCTTCAGCACTGTAGGATGGCAGCGCTCCACAGCTGCTCAAGCTGAAGGAGAGAGCTCTACCCAGAAACCCCCTGCCACCTATAAAACAGACCAAGGGAACCTTAGCATGCCCAAGGCTTTACTCTTGTGACACCAGGGTTCGCAGTACAACTTACAATAAAGTCATGAATAAACCCACAGCTTTGCAGGCATGCAATGGTGTGTTTGCAAAGCTCAGGGTAGATAGGAAAGCTGCACAGAAAGCAAAAGTATGGGCATAGAGAATCTCAGAAATAATGTCTGTACTCGGGTCTTCCCTAAAATTCAACTGTGAATTTTAGTTGCAAAAAGATGTCGTTGTTGATGTTTGTTATACATATGTTCTGTGCATGTGTGCATCCGTGTGTGTGTGTGATGCGTGTGTGTGTGTACACAAGTGGCCGTTACGCGTTGTGCAGAGGTCAGAGGTTGCCATCAGATGTCTTCCTTTACTATTCTCTGTCCACCTTATTTTTTTATGCTTATTATTACTATTTTTGAGACAAGGTCTCTACGCTGAAACTGGAGCTAGGCATTGGGGCTTACATGTGCAGGATGCCACACGCAGCTTTGTATGTTTGCTTTTAACATAGGTGCTGGGGATCCACGCTCATGTCCTCATGCTTCTGCAGCAAGTCCGTTCCCTTAAGCTAGCTCCACGGCCCCTATACATGCATTCTTAACTCCCGGGATGCTGTTTCCTTCCTCAAAATCATGGAAACAAATGCATGACGTCGAAGCAGACCTTTGTTTAAATGAAACAATTCACAAAGGGTGGCGAGCTCTAACACGGAGAGCAGGTGGGACTTCAGACTCTGCTCAGACTCAGACTTCAGACTCAGTGATTGTCCTCTTGAGAAAGTTGCTCTGCTTGAGCTGGCTCACCTATTACAAAAAGATGGCCATGATATCGTGATATTCATAGGAGTTCAGCGTTTGGAATGGGGGGAAACGCCACACACACAGGACACTATGACTGAGGCTGGTCAGCGTGTTCACTGGGACCCACCACCTACAGTTACATAAACACGAAGTTTCTACCAAGGAAAGTGTACGTGTTTTGAAATATTTCATTTACTGGGAACTACTGAGGGATTTTTAAGGGATCACTTAAGGGTGCAATTTCGCTTTTCAAGTGAACAGGCTACAAAAATAATGTTTAAAGCAGTTTGAGTGTAACTTATTTTGAAGAAATATCCCATCGGTATTTTTTATATAGTGTTATGTATTTCTATATTTGCATATTAATCCAACAGATTTATTCACCATCACATATCTGTAAGTATAATAGTGCCAATCTGTATGACCTAAATGCAGCTACATGATTTATGCAGACCACACATTGCTTTCCTTATCAGATTGGTGCAGATGGAGTATGATGTCATTGTTGTTACAGTTCCCCAGATAAGATACACGACTGTTTAACAAAGGCGTGAGGAGGAGGCACTTGTGCGGAAGATATGACGGTCCTCACGCCTTTTTTATTGGCTTTAAAAGGAGCAACTATTAAACAGATATTCCTGGGGCATGTTTTTTAATGCTGCAAGACTCTTAAATATTTTATGACATTTTACATTATATGTAAGTACTTCCAGCACACTTTACGTTTGGGGGACATCTGTTCTAAGCTGTCTTATGGGCTGATTCTGGATGACAGAGTAATCCTGATGTTAAAATGTCCTATCTTATCAAATAACAGCTGGGTAAGCTGGCAGATGAATTTTTATCAGTTTAGAAAAAGAAAACAACATAGGCAGTCAACATCCAATCAAGAGATAACCCTGGAACACAATCTGCAGAATCCCACCCACACTGATCAGAATTCGCCAGCCAGGTCATACATTAAAAACACAGCAATGGCGTCTAGCCTCCCTGTTCTGGCTGTTCCGAGGCTGAGGGGCCAGGACAGTAGGAAAACATGACTGGGCTCCCCACTGGCATCCCCAGTGGCAGCTCTCTCCCCGGTGTGACCTTGGACGGTGTTTGCACAGCTTGCAGAGTGAGGGAGCTGGGAAGCTGAAGGCTGGCCAGCAGCAGCCTGAGAGTCGCTCAAGGGGAAGGAACGGCTCAACAGGGAGGAGAGCCCATGTGTGCGTTAGTCAT